AGCTACGAGTGCTTGACACCCCTACCGTTCCCTCCCAGCCCTGTCCCACCCCCGGCAGGCGCCGTCCCACCGGAGAGCACCGCGACCTGCTCGCTGTTTTAGACCACCTCACACGAGAACTAGGTTTGCAAAGCAGAGACGATTGAACTAGGAGTAAAACATCCAAAAAAAAAAAAAAAAAAGACAGTCGAGTCCATCCTCGTGCCTCACATAGCCAGGAGCAGCTCCAACTCGTCAAGTATTGCTGAACATTCCTTAATTTCCACTTGAAAGGAGGAATGCTTCTCCAGGGACCGGCTTCTCCCTTCTTCTGCCGATTTCCACTTAGCCATCGCTGCCTGTGCGGAGAAGTCAGTGTACAGTACATTTTACTAACGCAGAAGTACTGAACAGCAAAGCCAAGTTCTATAAAGCAGCTCCAACTAAAGCACTCGAACTCTTCAGCAGGGTCTTGCCTGCTAAAGATTAAGTCTAGCCTGACTGGGATGTCTTTTACCTTTGTTCCTTGAGGAAAATGGCAATTCATCTGTGACCAAAGTTTAGGAAGTCTTATATAATAGCACTCATTAATTACCTCTCAAACTTCTTACCAAGAATTGTAGAACTATAAAACTTAATGACTATTCTGGTCAGTATATAGACAAAACAGTATCATTGAAGCTGCTTGTGCTTGCACACTTCATTCTCAGAGAGACTACCTGAGGTCATTGGTCCGCAACACTCTCCAAGTTAGATCAAGCCTTCCAAATTCCAGCGTAACAGCCGGACTGGCAGATCAGTCTTCTGCCAGTGGCGCTTACAACCACCTGCAACAGTCTTAAAACTCTCTCTTGAGAGGAGCTGGTCTAAGCAGAGACAGCTCCATTTCCAGGACTGACATCCGTCTTTACTTTGGAACTGATTCAGTCTAACCTGAAAGCTGTCAGTCATTAATACCACTTTCATCTTTGACCTGGTTTCAAGTTCAATGGTATACGATTCAAATTGAAATGTCTGAGATGAGAATTAACATTGCCCCACCATAAACTTTGCTTTAAGCCCTCTATTTAGGAGGGGGGTAACATACAGTTTCCTTAACGCACGTATAACAACAGACGAGTCATGCTGCAGGCTTTCACTGTAGTTCGTTTGGAGAACAGAGCAGCACCAGGGGAGGCAGAACAACCTTCAGAATCTCACTCAGCACCAAGTGCTCATTACCTGGTTGAGTCTGAAAAAGTCACAGTCTTACCTGAAGCACATCCTTTTCTTTTGCAGCCGTTTGATTAAATAGCCTCAATTCTTCTATAAGCTTCTCAGTTAACAGCTGAAGAGCCAAAGGAAAACAGTTTAATATAATGCAAATGAATGCAAGTCTCAGCAGCTGTTTCCACAACATCAGTAGGAAAGGGCAGTAGCACACAGACCTCTCAAAGCCCGTTTAACTCCCCATTGCTATTTCAAAGTTTCCTTACCATCGTCTGCTTCTGGCATTCCTGTGTCTTTTCTTCCTCCTCCAAAATGTTGCTGCCTGTAACTAATTTATGAGATGCATTGGTGAACCTCTAATACACAGATAACTTTGCTTGTAAGAACTAACAGCTTTTCAGAGTAAATTTCTACAACAAGAAAGACTAAATTATTTTCCAAGTTTATCCAGGACAGGGCCTGCTACAGGAAGCAGCTTTCTCTCTTAAGCTAGAAAAAAAAAAAAATCCCCTGGAGTTACAGTAGTATCTCCTTAGCAAGGAAGCAGAGTCCAAATGTCTTACAGTCACAACAGGGGGAAGAAAAACTGTTCTGAAGAACGAGTACCAGAATGGTATGTGAAATGCACAGTCCTTACCAGGATCAATGTTTCTGCTTTCTAAAATCACCATGCAAGTTTTCTGAAATTTCTTGAGCTTCTCAACTTCTTCTGCCAGACCTTCATTCTCCTCCTTTAACTCCTTTATAGTGCCCTGTCATTAACACAGGTTGTAAGTGAATCAAGTTTCCAAGGAGATTTTCTTCTCATTAGTCAGTAATACTAAGTGTGATGCTAATGGCTTAACGAGTGCTCCACTAGCACCAAGAATCAGATCTTCCCCTTTTGGCTCTACCACCACAGCAAATTTGTCTGTTGCAGACCTTTACTCCTGCTTCTTGACAAGATTAATACACTTATCACACCCACATGTCATAGCAATTGCTAGAAAAATTTCATCCCAGAGATAAATTCCTTTTAAGTAATCCTAGCATAGCTTTTCTTGTGCTCCCTCTGATATATAAAAATAATTCAAGAGTTTGATGCATAGAAGAGCATATAAACATTGGGAAGAAAAGGGCATCTTAGAATCTTTAAGCCACAGCAGTATTCCCTACACAGTTCAGATATTACCAGGCAATCGGATAAGCTGATGAACCGCACAAGTTGAATGCAATTCTCCAAGAGAATCAATAAGCATGTGGATTAGGGTGATCCAGCTGATAGCGTCAGAAGCTTTTTGAACATTTCGTAGGAGGTCTCAAAGGCTCTTAAAGAAACCAAGCTGTGAGATAAGAGGAATTATCATCTCACAGATTAGTAATTGATTGAGAACTAGGAAATAAAGTGAGCTTTTACAACTGAAGGCTACCAGCAGGGCCTCTTGCACGTGACAGAAATTGTCCGAGCGATCTGTAAGAGGTGGTGAATAATGAGGTGACGATTCTGAATCTAAACTTGATTCAAGAAAGTCAAATCCATTTGAAACCGAATGCAGTGAATCCACTGAACAGTCCCAGTTCTCTCAGCCTTTCCTCCAGTCCCTCAATCATCTTAGTGGCCCTTTGCTGGACTCTCTCCAGTATGTCCACATCTCTCTTGTACCACCAGCCCATAACCAGACACAATACTCCAGGTTTGGCCTCACCAGTGCTGAGCAGACGTGAAAAAACTTGCAGAAGAATACGAAGACACTAAGAGATCAGGCAGCAATATGACACAATAGCGCATGAAGGAACATAAGCTAATATAAACTGAGCTCTGCGTTAAATACTCAGAAGAGCATGAGGTCACCATCCCTCAAACTTAGTGAACAGCAGTGACCAAAATCCAAGCAGAATGTTCTTTGTTACTAAAATGAGACCATACACAATCCTGAACCCACATCTTCAATACTGTATGCACTATCACACCACACTATGTGATGGGTTAACAAAGCTAGGAGAGCTTGGGCAAAAGGAACAAGGAAATTGAATAGCTTATCTACCATATGTTAGGAGCTATGGAAGAAAAAGAATTAATAGACCTCAAACCATCAGTGGCAAGTGATTATTTACAGTTTCTCTTGATGTAGCTAGGAAGCATCTGGCAATATCAAGGCTGGTTTAATAAAATTTCATGCGAGTGTATAGTTGTGATACTTGAAATATTCTCCCACAATGAGTTTAAAATAGAATTAGAGCTCTGATGACTATTTAACAGTGATCTGGATGCATTATCCATCCAAATACATCTGCAGGTCTGCTGATTTCCAGGTTCTAGGAGATATCACAGGTGTCAGAGGAGAAAACCCAGCCCTCCCAAACTCTACTGACTTCTGATGGAGACAGGAAAATGAGCAAGACAATCCTTTGATCTGACCGTGTAGGGATCAGAATATAGGAATTACTCAATGATTTATTTATTCCCCCCCCCCCCCCCCCCCCCCAAACTTGCCTGTGCTCCTGTTTGTTAGTCTGGTAGCTGTTGTTTGGCCGTTTCTAACAGCTGATTCTTGGTCTTCAGCTCTGCTTCTAGTTTGTATCTGTTGAGAGTTCTGTAGAGTCAAACATCAAAGATTTAGGGGCAAAAATATCAGTATTACACACCTTCTCTTTTACTTCCGCAAACATGCCCTTTTTTGAAGCATTTGCTCGTTTCTGATCAAGAGCTTTAATCGGCTTTAATCAAACTTGGCAAGAAAGCTGTAAATGGGTGAGAGCTCATCATAACCCTCCAAGAGGGAACATTACTGCCCGAGGGCAACTGATAGAAATTTGAGGAAACATACCCTTTTGTAGCTGTCTTCTTTGAAAGTGGCTCCACTTTCCTGGCAGATTTAGGCAACCTTAAAAGACGGGTAAAATACAATTACCAGAAGACCACTGCATTCTTGCAGATTACCAAGTCTGTTAGTTTGACAAAGCCTGCAAAATGCTAAGCCATCTTTAGGACATTTGCCAAGTAATAAATCCATCAATACTTTACTTTCATTTACCCTTGGTTTGTAGCTTTGAAGACACCATCTGCTAGAATGTTTGAGCTAAAGTTAAAATTGGGATCTTTGTTGAACTCTAGATCCGTTGTTTTGCTGACACATTGTTTCTTTGAAGGAAAAGCCATTTGCATTTCTGCAAGAAAAAGACAACAATGAAAACACTACAGTCTACAAAAGATCACCATAACATGCAGAACTACTAGAACTCTTAAGCCTTCAAGTTGAAGTAAATCACAATTATATCTTGCTAGAATGGAGACTTTAAGGTAGCGACAACTAAGGGCAGTCTTCAAACTGTACCCAGGATCAAGGGTCCAGAATAAGCCACAGATAGCTCAGATGGTAGGCAGTGTTAAAACATATTACCGGGCTAGCACTAACGAGAGAAAGTCTGAAAGTGATAATACAGGCATGATAATAAAGGAGGTCTCAACATCAAGTGGACAGCATGCCACAGGGTTCCAAGCAAAGTTGTTCAGTACTGGCAGCAAAACAAACACAGCCCACTTGAAACTCTCAGTTAAGAGAACTTCATGTTTCAATTCACTGTGAGTAGATACACTTCTAAAATAACACTGTAGAGAACTAGCTTCCTATTTAAAGTTTGTTTGGCTTTAAACCACAGCTGTCTGAGTACATAAAGCTTTGTTCACATAGTGGGTTGAGCAAGCTTTCCCCCACACCCCCCAAGTTATGTATTTTTCAAATGACATACCCATAAGCACATTTATATCAGAGTAACACGGGAGTTTCCACTGATACAGACTAGCTCCCGTGCTGTTAGTGTTACGTCTGGGTGCCTCGCATTTCTAAAATGCTGTAAGTAGTATCAAAAGGCTTATAGAAGTAGGAGCCTCTGAAGGAAAGCATCTTTAACCTCAGCGGGCCGCTGCGGTCAGTAGGCCCAGCACTGGAGCACACCTCAGGGGGCTGAGCTGTGATGCAGCGAGCAACAGCCCGCCCGGCTCAGAGGCGCACGTTTAGCAAAAAAA